TATTGGAATTCAAGCTGCTTTCTTTCCTTCTCTCTCTTCAGTAACCAACCCCATGTTATTTCAAATGCACTTTTATTACACTTACTCTACATTTTAGATGGCCAGAATTTCTGACAGTTGTGTTAGAAATATAACAGCACGAGTTGAAAAATCTCAGGTTGAGTTTGGAGTCTTTGCAATTAAGGAAAAATAATATTTAAAAAAATACTACCTCAAAGGGCACACACATGCAATCTTCCCTGTTGCATTTTTATAGTCCCTTTTCCAAATACTACTACATTTAATGCTGAAAAAAAAAAAAAAATCAAATATATCTGCCTCGGGCTTCTTCCACAAACAGAGTTAAGCTTTTACTTTTTCTGCATTTTCCAACCCTAACTATTCTATGATTCTATTTCCTAATAAAATAAAAGAACAAGACCTCAATCAGCTGCTTGAGGCACCTGTGCAGAATTTTTTAATATTATTGCTACGTGATAGCTTGATGTTCCCCCCCCCCCCCCCCAGAGATGGGTGAAATAGGGCAAGAGGGTTGTTTTTACTACCTTCAGTTATTGCCTAGAGTCACGAGTTGTTTTTCCTTTTGACAGATGCTGTAATGTCAAGGTGGCACCAGCCCACTTTTGCTGAGGCTTTACCCTAGGAAAGTGTTTTTCTCATAATACGCTGCCTGACAGACTGACCTTTATCACATTTTTCTTTTCTTTCACCTTCACAAAGGGCAGATGTGGTGCTGCTGATGTATTTCATACAGAGATAAATAATTTCAGAATTTTAGAAACACCAACAATTGAACTCTTCTCTTGATCTTGCCACATATGCTATTTTCATGTGATTTGCATTAAAAAATAAAAAGAAAATGGATTTATTTTGGTTTACTTGGTTCCAGAATCATTAGGAGTTTTCAGCACTCCATTATTTCCCATGGTATTTGCCCAAACATGCCTACATGTTTGAAAAATGAAAGCTAACTCACTGGCAGGGAAAGCTTGCTTCTTGAGGAAAAATGGAAACCCATTTTCCAAGCACATTAAATCCTTAACCACTCCACAGGATTGCAAATTAGCAGCTAGGCAAACAGCTTTTTTCCCCTGTGGACTGCAGGGAGGCCTGCAACCTCCCTCAAAGGTCAAAATGTGTGCCTGACAAGGATCTGCAGAATGCAACTGGCTTTAGGTAGTATAGTCTATAGTGAGTATTTATATTCCTCAGACTTCTTGTTCTCTGTGTTAACAAAAATATAAAATATACACCTTTTGTAAACTTCTTTAAATATCGTATTTGAAGTATCCTAGTAGCACTTAAATGCATATTTAAATCTTTCTGGGATCACTAGCAGCATTGAATTAAAACTCAGAGTGCATTTAAGTGTAAGCACAGAGCATAGGGGCTAGAGGACAAGTGTGGCAAGACAGAATTATGATGTTGCAGCCACTTACATACTATGGCAGGGGGGGCTAAACTTGATGATCTTAAGGTCCTTTCCAACCCTAACTATTCTATGATTCTACAAATGCAGCCAATGACTACAAAACATATTTCAGTTATTATGCAGGCATAAAGAAGTAATGCAGCAAGAAAAAACAGCTTTGGAGCTTTCACCAGCGTGGAAGGATGATTAGACATGTATGTTCCATTTTTTCTTCAGCATATAAATCTTCAGTCTGTTACCAGAACAATTATGCCACGTTTTTTTCCGGCACTATTTTTCACAGGTATCTTTCAATCATTGCTCTGAGAAAAAGCATCAAGTTGTCAACAGTACTATCTGCATACATACAGCAGACACCTCCATACTTTATTATCTCTAATAAAAGAGAACTCTTCACTTTTGGGAAAGACTGCAGTATTTTGCCACAAAGCATGAAAACATGCTTAGAAATACCCTCTATCAAAACTGGGAGGAGAAGAAAAATAATTGCCAGTAAGACAAAATCTGCCTCTAAAACAGATTTTTCTGAAGAAAACAATAAAACCACAGCAAAGTTTTCAAGAACACTGACACTTTCCATGTGTACAAAAGTCATTTGACATGGTTGACGCTGTTTTTCTGTTTTTCATTGTCAGTTTTTGTTGCATAGTCACTAAATAAGGTCCTTCTGGGCAGATTTTTGCCTTTGTTCAGACCTAGCAGCAGTTTCCTTTATGGCCCATTTCTTAAACAACTGATATATGCGCATTAAGGGATACATAAGGCAGCAATTACGAGACACTTCAGATACAAGCAACTTTCTGAAATCCACAAGCCTAAATTCTCATTTGGCTATGCAATCAGAGATGGCCACCTTTTCCTGCCAACAAAACCAAGGGTTACAAAAAATATCGTAACTTCACAATTAGTACCTAATTGATACAACTGCATTTACACTACCCATTACTTGTGCAGCAATTAAGGTGGAGTTAGAAGCACACAAAGTGCTACAAGATGTCATCAATGTGGTTAATTTTATAAACCCAAGGACCTTTCAATATTAGAATCTTCACCATACTTTGGGAAGAGATAGAGAGTGCCCATAAAAGTCTATTGTAACTCATGGTTATCTCATGGCAAAGTGTTTAATAAAAGAGTAATCAAACTTAACAGTAAGTATACAGTTTAATTTTACAAAAAGAGAAGCGTTTCAAATCTGCTGACCTTTTCTGTAATGAAAAAGGCCTGTCAGTACTATGCTACCTAGGCCAGAAAAATAAAAACAGATTTAATCTATCTTTTCAAGATAAAGGTGACTTTTTGACAGTGAGTGGGAAAATAACTGCTTTTCTAAAGAAACTCATTGTATGCAGAGATCATTTTGAAAACAGAAGTTTGGAAATGTTTCCATCGTGATTTTGCTTCAAAAAGCAGTGCAAAAGTATCACCTATAAAAGCTCTCATACCTGCACATTTGAGCTGGAAAACAATTTCCTCATCTGTTTAAAAAAATCTTCAAATGAAGAGGTTTAGTGCCTTTTCAATCCATTTGTTAAAATCCACAAAAATTCAAGACTTTACAGTTAGCTTGCAAGAACTGATTCACAGTAGAGAGGACGGCAACCTACTGCCTGAATTTTAACAAACACCTCTGCATAATTGCTGGATGGGACTGAAAAATGAGAATCACAATCTAGTAAGCACAGCCAGCAATGCACTTGTTCCATTTGGATCTACGTATCTGCGTGAAATATTCTTATCAGCAATGATAGCTATTAAAACCGAGTATTAAATTAATCTTAGAACCAGACCTTCAAATCCCCATGCTGCAGTGTTAAACCAAGATTTTAAAAAATAATGAAGCATATTGCACAGCACCAATTTTTTTACATCTAGCTCTGGGTTTCCCAACAGAAGAAAGACATGGACCTGTCGGAGTGGGTCCAGAGCCAGGCCACAAAAACTATCAGAGGGCTGAAGCACCTCTCTTGTGAAGACAGCCTGAGAAAGTTGGGGTTGTTAGCCTAGAGAAGGCTCTGGGAGACTAGGTATATAAACATGGCTTATAAGAAAGACTTGAGAGATGTTTTAGCACAGCCTGTAGCAACAGGACAAGGGCCAACCTTTTTTAAACTGAAAAGTTTAAAGTAACTTTTTTTTTTTTTAACTGAAAAGTGTAAGTTTAGCTTGGACATTAGGAAGGTCTTTACTGCAGTGGTGGTGGTGAGATGCTGGAACAGGTTGCCCAGAGAAGTGGTAAATGCTCCATCCCCAGCAGTGTTCAAGGCTAGGTTGGAGAGAGCCTTGGGTGACATGGCCTAGTGTGAGGCCATGGAACTAGATGATCTTAAGGTCCCTTCCAACCCTAACCATTCTATGATACTATGGACACAGAAGAAAACACACACATGAAACCTAGAAAGCTTAAGCTGTAGATTTATTATGCATTAGGAAGCTTATTAACTTAAAAACCAAACTGCATAGTACAAAAGGTTTGTTATCTCTGCTCTATGTGGAACAAGTTTCAAAATATATATTCTTAGATTTGTTCAGTCAATACACAATCCTTTTAAAAAACTGTATATCTGTCAGTACCCTCATTAAATTTATAAATACTTGATTTACACAGCACCCCATATGGAAAAATTAAAACTCCTTACAAATATCTACATACATTGCATACATATAAAACATTCATAGGAGTACTTCATTAAAGTTGGGTTTAATGGTCCATTTACACTGCAACAAAATACATATAAATCTCTTTGTCATAAAATGTCTCTAAAAATTAGAACATTTGTACACATTCATAACTCTTTTAAAGCCTCTTTTTGAAAGGAAATTTAATATGAATATAGCCATGAGATCCATCAGGTAAGACAGTGATATGAAGGCTAAATATGATTAATAACTGAACAGTAAATGGCAGTTAAGGCAGGGGTGAAAAGAATTAATAGGAAGCATTTCATATGGCAGATAAAGTGACAAAATGCAATAAATATACATATTTCTTGATGTAAACTATTCTGGCATCCACTGTTTTTCCTACCTCAGAAGCCAGAAGTTTCCGTATTTCTGATGCTGCTAATTTTATAGTTAAAATTCTATGGGTTATTTTTAATCAGGAAAACGTTAATGTGACCAGTGCTCTCAGGTGCCATCTGGATTTGCTTTAACTGCTCAGAACTGACTGTTCTGGAATGTGGGTTTAAGACTCCAGTATGATCTTTATTTATGGGTAATGACTGTCATGTGTGATCATATATCCTCGAAAGTTATCTCAGTTTCATCATTGCTTTCTTGTAGCTTCTGGATTTCTTTTTCTCTAATAATATTTGAGAAGAGTCAGAATATCTTCAGAAATTGTATTACTTTTATTGATAACCACTATTACAGATACGAGAACTGTAAGATCAGTCCCTCTCACATTGTGAGGACTGTATGCGATAAACATGCAGACAAAAGGCGTAAGAGACACAAAATCACCTTTACCAGCGGTGGCAGAAACCATTCTGCCTCAAACCTGGTTATTTTGCATACAACTCTGGGAATGGAACATTCAAACTTGAACAAAAAGAAACAAAAAAAAACCCAAAAAAAACCTACATGATGCCTGTATATTTGCGTTTCTGCCAATACCAGGAATTGACATAGCATTTGCAGTCCAATACTGGGTTGAGTCACACCCAGCTGTGATCTGCTATGCTAAACAAACCCTCCTGCAGGTATGGTATCAACCTTAAGTATCATACTGCATGTGATGTTCCCCTGTCACGTGGGAAGCTGCCTTCTTTTCAGGGGCTAGATCTCTGCACATCCCACTAAGCTTTCAGAGCTGCAATTCAGTGCATGAATTTTTTCCAGTATTCTCAAAGGTAGCCTTCATACACTGCTATCTTGCAGCAACGGTTCAATGTCCTCTTCACTACTTCGGTCTAGGTTGTTTCCCAGAGTATTGCTGCTGCTGCTGTGTTTTCTGGTACTGCTGGTTTTGCTGTGCTCAGGAATAAATAAGGCAACTAGGAAAGCCAGAAGAACAATGCATGCTCCAACCAGGAAGGGTGGACCAGGAATGATTGCTCTCTGCAGGGAAACAAGCATATCAAAGAATTCAGAGTTTCAGACATTGACTTCTGCATTAAGAACTGTACCCTTAAGGCAGGGCATAATGGGAAACATATTTACAGTGGCTATAAAGTTTATGCAAACAAGTTCATATGCACACTTTAACATGAATCTTCTGCACCCCTAAGAATTCATCACCTGATCTGCACACTGATCTAAGAAACAGAAACACACACAAAACTACCAGTTGACACTAGGATTGCCTAGCAGATGAAACAGACATTAACTGATACCTATTTGCATTTTTTTTCCTTTAGGCAACATGCCTGTAACCAAAATTAAAAACAATCATAAAAAAGTTTATAAAACTAGTTTTAAACCAGCTAAGTTTGATGACAAAACCATATAAAAAAAGCCAGCAATCCAGCAATTTCTTTTTAGTCTTTAAACAACTTCTCTGTATTTTTGTCAACTGAGACTAAATAAAAATCAGAAACAGTCAATCCAGTGCACTTCTTTTCTACAAAATTAAATGCAGAAAATTATTCTAATATGAAATGGGAAGGTAGCTGAAATTAAACATACAGCAATAGGGTATTTCCCTTGCTCTAGCCTTATTACAAGCAGAAGCCTGCTTTTTCAGCTGATGGTGTCTAAATTTAAAGTATATAATCATATTAACAGAATTTATATGAACAGTATTACTTAAATTTTCAAGTACTGCTAAGCCTGCAAGTTTTTAAAAAATGCAATAAACTTCCAAAAATTAGTATCATTTGTATGATTTATCTGAACAGCTTTTGAATATTTCACTACAGCATTTCATCAAATGGAGTAAGAAGCTTTGAAAAGCATTTGCTTACTGCACTGCCAGTTATTTAAAAGGAAATTAAAAGATATGTGCCTAATTTTTACTATTTATGCTCGACACAGCAGATAACGCATTTTTTCTTGACTAGGTGCATCAGATCTGTTCTTTGATGGAACACTGTGACCTGTGGTGACTTTCCACCTCTCACAATTCCATGAGATTAAAAAAAAAAAAAAAGTAATAGTCTAGTCCTCTAGAGTAATAGAAATGAACACATACAGGCAATTAAAAAAAAAAATATTAGGCTCAATCTGTTGAAAAAAATTCACCACAAATGATGACCACTAGATTGTGTTCTCCTGCGTTTACTCTACAAATTAAACAACTGAAATTTGCATTCAGACTTTCCTGTCACCACTGTTTGAACATGAAAGTTAACAAACCCATTATACCTAAGAACTTGGTTTAGTACTCTGTCAATCAATGGTCACAGAAGACTATAACTGAAAGGTACAATACAAAGTTATGACGATAATCAGCTTTCACTAGTTAAACATTTTTTGTTTTGGTTTCTTTTTTTTAATGGGACAGTGTCAGAAGTTAAACTGTATCCTTCATTCTGTTGCTGGGGTTTTCTGCTCTTACTGGGTGCTGAAAATGTAGAGAGTTATGATACTTGGGAAAGGCTTTAGAGAAGATGGTGAGAGGGAATGTAGAGGTTTGGAAACCATGTTTTCTAGTAAGAAAATTAAGGAGCATAGTCAGTTGAGTTTAATTAAGAAGTTGGTGAACTTTTTAATTTAAAGAAATGTTCTGTACTATGTTTTACAAAAGACCTGACAGATAATTGTAATTGTTCCTCCTTACATTAAAATTTCTAGTCTTAGTGCATGGAAAAACCTGCATTTCCAAGCACTGAGAGCCTTAGCTCAATGAAGAATTGTAAGGTGATGGGATCTTAAGTCAGCCTGTGAGATGCAGGCTGAGTTATGACTCTCAGGTCTTTCCCTGGAGCTGTTACATAGGTAATACTTAGCCCGGTGAACTAATTCTGTTCCAGGGGAGTCTGGCTGTGCATTTCCAGCTCACTAATGCTGAGGAAAGATTTTCTACCAGCGTAGTAGGGAGCCTACAAGGATGCTGGAGAGGGACTCTTCATTAGAGACTGTAGTGATGGGACAGGGGGTAACTGGTTAAAACTTAAACAGGGAAAGTTTAGCTTAGATACAAGGAAGTTTTTTACTGAAGGGTAGTGAGGCACTGGAATGGGTTGCCCAGGGAAGTTGTGAATGCTCCATGCCTGGCAGTGTTCAAGGCTGGGTTGGACAGAGCCTTGGGTGACATGGTTTAGTGGGAGGTGTCCCTGCCAATGGCAGGGGGGTTGGAACTAGATGATCTTAAGGTCCTTTCCAACCCTAAATATTCTATGATTCTATGATTCACATCAATATTTTTAACAATACCTATATAAATATACTATAGTTGCAGTAATACTCATAGCAGTGGAAACAAAGGAGGAAGAACTATTTTTCATTTACCTCAACACTATACTGGGTTTGAGCAAGGTTCAGCACAGTAACACTGCATTCTCAATTGAGCTTATATACACTCACAGCTTTTGAAAAGCAGGGGTAGAATAAAAGCTTAAGCATCAGAAGATAACAAACAACAATGCCTGTCACAGACTAAAAGACATTGCACATCAGTTAACTGCAGTTCCAAAGACTTCCAGTGACTTCTTAAAACAAGTCTTGATTATTAAAACTTGTAATTAGAACGCTTCTTACTGAAAATTTATTAGCATTTAATAAAATCAAAATAACATTTTTCAAAGTGTGTATACCTGTACAGCAACTCCTAGTTATCAATTTAAAACACTGAACAAAATCCAAGCTAGGCTTGTACGCACCCACTAATTTCCTAGTCTAATCTTAGTGCATTCCCTGGTTTTCACTTCCACTCATTTTACTTAAATTAATTTTTAAAGCTATGTACTGTTTAAATTGGGGAGTTCTTTTGCATTTTATATTAGACTTAAACATAAGAATTAGTAGGGAAAAACTGTTTGGGTTCCCCCCCCCCGGAATAATAGTTTTACATGTTAGATGCCTAGTAACTATTAACAGGGAGAGATATAATTACAGTTATTTAACAAAGCTTTGAGTACATACATAATAAGAGCTGTGCTACTGACACAATAGTTACTCAAATACTTACTGATTTTGCTGTACTGATAACTAAAAAATGCCTATTTAATAATTAGATTTTCAAGAAAACAAGAACATCTGAAGGAGCAGTTTAATTTATACTTGCAGCTTAGAAAAATCCTTTTTTCATACAGAAGCTCTAACATTATGCTTCAGTACAGGAACTTCTTCAACCAAAAGCTTTAGAAAATTCCACAACGTAAGTTTTGACTCATGTATAACTTACTGAAACAGTCAGTTCCTTCATCGCATATATTTGGGCTACTTCAACAAAAAGAACCAAGAGAACATTCTTGCAGTAACAAAACATACTGAAATCACTTGTGACAAGACATGTGTGTACAAGGTCGAAAAGGCAACAGCCTCCCTGTCCCCAAGAAAAGCTTATGTGACTCAATGCTTTAAAAAAGAGTTCAAAAGCAAAAGTTTAAGTAATGGAAGCATGACAAAGCTCTCGAAAACCTGAAATCATTATTATAAAGGTTTTCCAGTATTTTACTACAGTTTCCTTTTTGTACAACAAAAAGAATGTCTTTGCCCCCTTACTCTATTTGGTTCGCTTGAGCAAATTACAGAGCACCCCCCCCCCCCCCTTAGCATTTTGACAAAGTAACGACATAGTAGCTGAAGAGGTAAGAGCAATAAAGCAAAAAAGAAAAAAGGTCCATAAGATCCTCCAAATTCTGGTAAGAACACATTTGATATTTTGGAAGCCAAATAGGAAAGCACAAAGCAAGCAAAAATGCAGACCTGAAACAAAGTTGGAAGGGATTAAAAAAAAAAAAAAAAGTAAAAAAATAAAAAGAGATTGGAGAGACTTAATGAATCATAGAATAGTAAGGGTTGGAAAGGACCCTAAGATAATCAAGTTCCAACCCCACTGCCATGGGCAGGGACACCTCACCCTAGACCAAGTCTACCAAGGCCCTAACCAACCTGGCCTTGGACACTGCCAAGGATGGAGCATTTGCCAATCATTTGGGAAACCTGTTCCAGTGCCTCACCACCCTCATAGCAAAGAACTTCTTCCTTATATCTAAACTTCTCCTGTTTAAGTTTGAACCCCTTAACCCTTGTCCTGTCACTACCGTCTCTAATGAGGAGTCCACCCCCAGCATCCTTATAGGCCCCCTTCAAATACTGGAAGGCTGTTAGGAGGTCTCCACGCAGCCTTCTCTTCTTCAGGCTGAACAGCCCCAAGTTTCTCAGCCTGTCTTCATACGGGAGGTGCTCCAGTCCCCTGGTCATCCCCATGGTCCTCCTCCAGACTTGTTCCAACAGTTCTATGTCCTTTTTATGTTGAGGACACCAAAACTGTGTACAATACTCCAAGTGAGGTCTCACAAGAGCAAAGTAAAAGGGCAGGATCACCTCCTTCGACCTGCTGGTCACGCTCCTTTTGATGGAGCCCGTGACTTCCGGAGAAATGTTGTATAGGATTAACTTCTCCTCCAGGTAAGAAAGGATGGTGAATAGAACAGCATTGTTTAATTTAATGGTTTAAATTATTAATGCTTTAAACATGCTGTTTAAAAAAAAACAAACAAAACAAAGAAAAAAAAAACCACAAAAAAACCCACAAAAAACCCAGCACATAAATAATTAACCTGTTGCTGTGAGTTAAAAGATAAACCCGCTACAATTTACTGAGTTACCAAAAATTATCTTCCTATTGTGAAAATTTCATGTTTCACCGTAAGTCAGAATTACATCTGTGTTTTGAGATTTATGTGAAAGTTAATCAATTCTGTTAAATACTGAAACCAAAGCTGCTACTACTGTAAATCTGAATATTTACTATCAAATTTAGCTTACAAGTGATCTCAATGGTTCAATAAAGGTGACAAGCAAGAATTATATAGCTCAAGAATCAGATATCAAGACTTTAAAAATCAACGAAAAATGACAAGATTTTTACCCTTTTACCAGTGTCTACACTGCAAACTTCACATCAAATTTTAAATCTACCTCATCACTGGGATCTTGCATTGTTTTCTTTCCAGAAGTCTGATCAGGTGGCAATTCACTGAGCTCCACATGAAAAAGAAAGAAAATAAAGCCATACAGTGCTGGTCCCAGGCCATTGCACAGACCTCTTACTCCAGTTATTATTCCTTGGACAACACCTAATGAAGAAAAGAGAATAAGAGCAGGATTATTACTTTTTTCTAATCAAGAATTAAACCTTGGGAGCCAACAGCTCTAAGTGTATTTTAATGGCTGTTCCAAAATAGCACACCACATAATTATTTCTACTTATTAAAATCTTAAGAAACATACTGAAGAAAGCTTTCCTGGATTTAAATAATTCTCTGCAACACCACAGTCTGTTACTGTACTTGCATGCTACTGGGAACAATATGAGTTTTGAAAATCGGTAAATAAATTTATGTGCATGTTTGCAAGTCTAGTGCTCTGCATTAGTTCTTCCACCTTCACCTAAAGCCTACAATGAAGAACGCAGAGGTTAAGCATGGTACCTGCTCAATTTATTTTCAAGTGAAATTTAGAGTAATCTATCTATGTGTTAAGGGCTGCCACTGGCAAAATAAGCACAAACTGTAACAGATTTCTTCCCCTTAGTCTAATTCCAGGATTTACTGTAGTATCAAATTTTGGGGCAGTATATTCAGCAATACTGTAATAAATTCGCAATACTAGACTGGTTGCAGTTTTATATTAGTTTATTTTAAAAGCTAATCAGAGTTCTATGGGTGTCCTGTTTCAACTTAAGTGATTGTGACAACAGTGTAAAAAGGTTTGTGACAATCCTACAGATTAAGATCCTACAGAACACTATTCTCACAGTATCAGTAGTCTTGACACCTGCTTCCTCAAGGCAGTAATAACTTGTAAAATAAAAGGAAAGAAAACATGTCAAAAAAGGAAGTTACCCAAATTTTTCTTCAAAGGCTAACATGTAAGCTTAAATTCTTTGTGCCACTAGGTGGCAAAACTTCACTTTAGAAACTACTGTATTCCTGAGCTATTAACTGTAGTTTCCTCTATGCACAACGAAAAAAATCAGTGATTTCTCTCAAGTAAACCATTTAATGACATGAAAGTCTTTCAAAACTCTTAAATTACTCTATTAGAAACAAAAAAGGGTGGCTATGTAAAATACTGTCTTTTGCACCTTTCAAACTCGATAGAAACCTCCCTTTTAAAAATACGGTACCTCCCATACTTAACTGCACTAATCTAACTCCCAAGTTGTACAGTGTTACAGCAAGACTGATACTTAGAATTCATATGAACAGACTGGGTTGTTTTTTGTTTTTTTTTTTTTTACAGAGAACACTAAATCCAGCTATTATATGCCAGTGTTATACTTTGTGATGACTCCCTCCCTCACTTCATTTTAAATGAAGTTATATTTCTGATTGTTCATTCCCCTTCATATCAAAATCAATGAATTCTTCAGTTTTCTCAGACCAACTACTTAAGTTTCCTTTCCTATTTCTTGAAAATCTTAAGTATTATAACAAATAGGGACAAATTTTCACACAAATAGAGCTACATGTACGTTTCGTTCAATCTAGTAAAATGTGGGTTTAGTTTCCATTAAAAATATGGCATTATTACAATAATCCCCATTATCTATTTAGAGAATATTACTTTTAATAAAGAAAGAGGAAGGAAAAGAACCATGAAAGTTACCACTTCTGCTTTTTGCTGCTTTTGCAGTACTTTTACAGGAATCTAGATGTAGCTGGTCAGACAGAAACTATGTATTTCGCAATGCAAATTTGATAAACTTGTGTATTTCCTTTCTCTCTAGATAGATTGGCAGACTTCCACAACTACTACCAAAGAAGTCATTATTCATCAACATATTTGAGAAGTACACCTAGATGAGTATTCTGCTTTCTAGCCAAAAGAGTTATTTAAGAAAGCAGTCTGATGCTGGAACAGAAATTCATTCAATACTCACCTTGTTGGTCTGACTCTGCATTTCGTGAAACCAGAGCACCAATTGCCGGGAATGTAATGCTTGACATTGCTGCTACACCTCCTGCTACCCACATCATCCTGTGTTAAATACATAATCTGAATTGAAAATGAGACTGCTCATATAACTTCTCTCCACCCCTCCAAAAAGTGCCACAAGGGTACCTCCAAAAGTACTCTCACTAAAACATCTAAAGACTGAAAATCATCCAGTATGGGCTTTCTTCCTACTTTCCTCCCACAAATAATGCTGAGATTGTTGAACAGAAGCATATTTGATACTACACTATCTTCACAGCAAAGGAAAAGATGGGAGTGGGAGTGAAGTAATACACAGACTTTCCCTCGCCAAAGGCTGTACAAAGGAACAATGTCACTCACAGGGTGTCCCAGTGAGGCTGTTCTCTACCTTGTATAACTCCCTACAAATTGCTCTGATAAAGAGCTATCATTTATTGCTGTTAGTACAATAAACTTTGTAAAGAAACAGCTGTTCCAACTTTTCTAGTTGACTTCACTTCCAGCTTTTCCAACAGAAGAAAAACCAAATATATTTATAGTAGAATAGCATGTTAGAAAATAAAAGAAAAAGAGGTCCAGTAACTGACTGATAGAATGGATCTAGTGGAATTACTGGAGAGAACATACTAGCTTGTGAGTTTAAGGAAAAGTTTTAACCACATTTGTAGATGTAAAACGCAGTTGACCAAAATGATGCAATTACTCCTTTTCCAAAAGGTCTGTCGGTCTGCAGCTTGCACTACATACCTGGAATATTCTATCATGCCTACATGTGCAAAATGCAGATGCAAGAATGCTCATTTCACAGAGCATTTACATACTCATGATAACCACACTGACTGGCAGAATTTCTCGGGAAAAACATTTTCAGTTCCTTAACAGATATGTACCTATGAAAATCTGTGCTTACCAAGACTGAGATCCAAAACCATACCAAGCCAACTGAAGGATCTGAAAGCCAAGGCCAAGGAGAACTGTATTTTTGTTCCCTATAGACCTCATCAAGATACCAAGAAACACAGTCTGCAAGAGAAATTGGTTAATACAAAAGTTATTTTAAAAAGCCAGATTGCCAAAGTAATATCTCCTTCTACACAAAATATTTCAGAGGAGCTTTCAACTGCTGAGGAAATTCACACTATTTGTGCTCTTATCTTCCAAGTATTAAATCCAAAATGGAGACTAGTCATAATATTTGATGTACAAACATTCTTAACTATTAAAGGATTTCCACTTCAGGACACTGAGAAGCATATGTACTGCCTTCTCTATGGATTTTTTATCTCAGTGTCTGCTTCTACTGTAAACAGGCTTTTGTTTCCACCTCTACAATTCTGTTTCATTGCAGTCTAGAGAGTTCCACAATGAATGCTTGTACCAAGCTAAGACAGTACAGGCTGGATATAGGTTGAATTTAACAGTATCTATATACTTACTATGTCACTTAAATTTACTAGTATCTAAATACTAATTAAAAAAAAAAGATTCAGCTCAAACAAAAGTAATCTCATTAGATCAGGTGAATTACTATCTAAAGTTACAATTAAAATAAACAACTAAATATTGATGCTTTTCCAACTTTACCACATGCAGTGAAATTTGGCCAAGGTCAGTTCCTAGGCATCTTTGATTACATTTCCTGCTGACTCTTTACACCACTGATACGACCTTTTTATTTCCTAATAAATCCTAACAGAAGACCACTGTTTTTCATCTGTTGGAAGTGTTTCTGCTGAGGGGCAAGGCGGTCTCAATCCAGGTACAACAGGAACACATTCACGGCAAGAAGCAGACTGCACATAGTAAGGCCAAGTATGTATGGACAACCTCACTCAGTTAACAGAGCACACTTTTTTTTCTTTTTTTTTACGTAAAGAATTCAGCAACACATCAGTAAAAAGCCAAGGAAAATAAAATGCAGAGCAGAGCACACTTCCCCTCTCACACAAATCTCATACTAGTTTTCTTGTTCTCATTCGAGACAAAGCCAGCTTAAACACCAAACAGGAAGAATACAGTAATTCTATCCACATGTGATCAGTTCTTTCTAGAAATATCCAAAATGCTAACACAAACCAGTTTTAGGAAGCAAAGGTGGTTTCAATACGTGACACTTCTCAAAGAGTTAAAAAGCTTTTTCAAAAACTCAAAGATTTTCAGAAAAAATACGGGTCTGGATAAAATATGACTGGCAAACGTCAGTGCACATTAACAGCATCAGAACAAACAACACAAGAAGTATTAAAATAATGCCTTGAATTGGTAAAGGACACAACTGACACCAGTAAAATTGGTAGACACTGAGAAATGTGTTGTTTACATCAAACCATTATGACCTCCAGCCTGCTAAGAATGGCAACAAGGTTACATAGTATGTGTCATTCCTTTTCCAGTTAACACAAGAAGAAGACAGGAAAACTGTACACATAAAGATACCAAAGATCACATCATAAAAAATGTTTGATTTCTAAAGTGTATAAAGCACCTGTACAAAAAACAGCTCACTGTTCCCAATTAAGATACATAAAAGCAATATAACAGTTCTTCATGGTTCCTCAGTACCCATGCTGAGCCTCAATAACCCTCAACAGTGTCAATTTCTGCATTGTCTGTATGTAAATTTGACATGAGCCAAATCAAGAGATGCAAGAACATGACTTTAGTTTAATATACCTCCTTGTTATAACCCATAGAAGGGTTTGTGTTGGAAGGAACCTTAAAGATCATCTAGTTCCAACCCAAATCCCACCCCTACAGCAGGTTGCCCGCAGCCCCATCCAACCTGGCCTTGCACACTGCCAGGAGAGGGGTGCCCACAGCTTCTCCGAGCAACGTGTGCCAAGGTCTCACCATCCTCACAGTAAAGAATTTCTTCCTAACATCTAACCTAAATATGCCCTTTTCAGTTTAAAGATGTTACCCCTTGCCTATCAGTAGAAGCCCTTCTAGAAAGGGCCTTTCCAGATTGCTTGCAGGTCCCCTTCTCTTCTCTTCTGCAGGCTGCCTCTTCTGCAGGCAGCCTTCTCTTCTCCAGGTTAAACAAACCCAGCTCTCTCAGCCTCTCTTCACAAGAGAGCTGCTCCTGCCCTGACCATCTTCATGGCCCTCTTCTGCACTTGCTCAAGCAGGTCCACATGCCTCTTGCATTGGGGGCCCCAGACTGGATGTGACACTGCAGGTGAGGACTCATGAGAGCAGAGCACACGGGGAGAATCATCTCCCTTGGCCTGCTGGCCATGCTTCTTTGGACGCAGAACACGGTTGGCTTTCTGGCCTGCAAATGCACATTGCGGAGTCACGTTTTGCTTCTCATCAACCAACACACTCAAGTCTCTCTCCTCATGGCTGCTCTCAATCCATTCTCCACCCAGCCTGCATCTGTGCTTGGGATTGTCCCAACCCAGGTGCAGAACTGGAACCTTGCATTTGGCATTGTCTCTGACAAAGACGTTAAACAGCGCCGGTCCCAATACCAGTCCTAGAGGGACACCAATTCTCATTGGTCTCCGCTCAAGTATCGAGCTGTTCACTACAACTCTTTGAGTGCGACCCTCAAGCCAATTCCATATCCACTCAGTGGTCCATCTGTCAAACCCACATCTTTCTAATTCAGAGTCAAGGATGTCATGCAGAACAGCATCAAATGATTTCTGGAAGTCCAGGCAGATGATGTCACTCACACCTTCATTACTCACTAATGTCGTAGTCCCATCTTGGAAAGCCACCATATTCATCAAGCACGATCTGACAGTACCAACCACTTCCTTACTTTCCATGCCCCTGAGCATAGCTTCTGCATGGATTTGCTCCATGATTTTGCCAGGCACTCAGATGAGACTGATCCAGGGTCTTCCTTTTTTCCCCCTTTTTAAAAACAGGGATTCTATTTCCCCTTTTCCATCAGTGGGAACAATCACTGGACTGCCACAACTTCTCAAATATCATGGATACTGGCTTAAGCACTTTATCTGCCATTTCTCTCAGGACCTGTAGTTGCCTCTCACGGGGCCCCGCAGACCCGTGCACTTCAAAGTCCTTAGATGGTCTTGAACCTCGTCCCCTGCAGTGGGAGGTTCTTCATTCTCTCAGTGTCTGCATATGTCTTCTGGGCTGCAGCTCTTGCTGGTGAAGACCAAGGAAAAAAAGTCACTCAGTACTTCCCCATTCTCCACATCCCAGGTAACAGTGTCTCCTGTTTCCTTCCACTGGGAGGCCACATTTCCCTGGTCTCCTTTTTATTGCCAGCATACCTACAGAATCTTTCCTCACTGCCCTTGATGTCCCTGGTGAGATTTACTTCTGTCAGGGCTTTAGCTTTTCTAGCCTGATGCATAACATCCTCTTTGTCAGGATGCAATGCTCCTGAACTTGAAGGCGTTGGAATGTTAACCAGCTTTTGGGGGCCCCTTTTTCACCCAGTGGTATATCCTATGTACCAAGGAAATCCCTAAAGGGGACAAAGTCTAGTCTCCTGAAGTACAGGACAGTGAGCTTGCTGTGTGCCCTCCTCACTACCTTAAGGATCTTGAATGGCATTATTTCCTGGTTATTGCCGCCAAGGCTGCCCTTCAGCTTTACATTCCACACCATCTCCTCCTTGTTGGTGAAAAGAAAGTCCAGTATAGTCCTTTGTTGTCTTCTTCATCACTTAAGAGGGAAGATACCGTCAACAAATTCCAGGTACCTCCTGGATTCCATACTTCCTGTTGTGTTCTCCCTCTAACAGATATAACAGGATGGTTGAAGTCCCATGTGGGGGCAAGGCCTCTTGAACATGAGGCCACACCTACCTGTCTACAGAGAAGCTCTCATGTACTCAGTCTTCCTTGTCAGGGAGTCTGTAGCATACCCCTGCTTCAAAGTCACCTGCCGCTGCCCTCCCTTTAATTCTGACCTATGAATTCTCAATCAGCTCTTCATCTACCCCCACGTGAAGCTCCATGCACTCCAGCTGTCCACTGTCACTGAGGGCAACAGCCCCTCTTCTTCTCCCTTGCCTGCCCTTTCTGAATAAGCTGATATGCTTCCATCTGAACACTCTGGTCATAGGAGCCATCCCACCACATCTTCATGATGACAAGAAGATCACAGCCCTGCAGGCATGCATACGTCTCCAACTCCTCTTGTTTACTCCCCATGCTACATGTATTGGCATACAGGCATTTAAGGTGGTCTCCCACTGAAGCTGATTTACTGGCTGGGGTAGCTGGAATTTTCTTTCTGCTGCTATTCAGGTGTTCTCCGGCTGAACTGTGTTCCCTCTCCAGAATATGCATCTCTCACTGGCACTGGCATCAAACTGGTTAGAATGGTAAGAACAGTATGGATTGAGGTTCCTCTCCCCTGGCAACTCTAGTTTAAAGCTTTCTTCACCATGTTGGCAAGCTTATGACCAAAGATGCTCTTTCCCTTCTCTGACAGACAAGCCCCATCAGCCCACAGCAGACCAAGTTTCTCAAAGTGAGCCCCATGGTCTAGGTTGCCAAACCCCTGGCTGTGGCACCAGTCCATAACCTATAATCACTTAGACTCAGCTGACCCTTTCAAACCCTTTCCCTCTGACTGGACGGATTAATGAAAAAGCTACCTGCACTCTGGAGTCCCTTAGAGCTGCTACAAGAGTTATGTAATCTTTCTTGGTACAGCAAGGAGCAGTCTGAGGAGGACCACTGGTGCCCATGTAAACAACAGCAGCAAATAATAGTTAGTGAACTTCACAAGGCTTTGTAGTTTCTCGGTGACACCCCTGATTATTAGCCCCTGGTAAACAGCACACCTCTCTAGAAAGTGTGTCAGGTCAGCAAATGGGTGTCTCGTACTTCACAGAAGAGAGTTGCCTATCAGTATCAACTATCATCTTTTCTTAGTTGTGTTGGTTGTTACACAGGGAGCAGACTGGGCTGCTGTATTCAGCTCCAGCCTCTCTTCTGATGTGACAGTTCTTTCCTCTTTAGTCTAATGCAGTTCAGCACGGGTACCTCTAGACTTTGGGGATGCTTCTCCCTCCTGCAGGTCCTTCTCACTGCAAGCTTCAATCCTGTGTTATTGGCCCATTCCCTTTTGTGGGGGCTGGAGGGGAATTCTTGTCTTTTTGGCTGTGGGTCCACTGCAGACTGTGCTTGGAACCAGCTAATACCTTCTTAGTCTCCTTGATGTTGCACAGCCTTCTCACTGCCTTCTGCAGCTCAGCCACCTGCTGTAGGAGGTTTTCCACTTAAGCACACCTTCTGCAGGCAGGTCTCCTGCCTGTCCCTACCCCAGGAGAAAGGTCTGGGTATTTCCTGCACTCCAGTTCTGCTCTGCAGCCTCTCCCTTCAGCAGCTTCATCTGGGTGCAGGCATTGGAGCAGATCCCCCAGCCAACACCACAGCCTTTTCTCTCGTGAGTGCCCACCATTCTGCCTTGAGGGTCTGACCTGTGCAGGTGGCCACAGAATGGTGCTCAGTTGCTGGGTTATTGGACTTCAAGTCTCTCTACTTGGCAGTGGAATATCTGTCCTTCAAAGACACAGCCTCCGAAGTGAACTGCCTCACAACCCGCTGCACCACAACCCAGCCGACGTGCTGTGCCTTGTTGGACTGTCCTGTTGGTGGTGCTCCTGGTCACCCATGCTCCCCAGGGCTGCCATGTGTGGGAGTAGAGGGTGACCGCTGTTACTCCAGGCCTCACACATGCATCATCAGCTGTTCTCATGTGAGCTGCTGGCTCTGTCAGGTCTTGGCACTCCCCTGGAGTTTTCCAGGCTCATGAACCTTCCACCCCATACACTATGATCCCCAGCTCCTCTGTGAAACGTGCATCCTCCAGAGCTGAACACCTCAGCAAGTTACAGAAAGAAATGAATATAACATTTAGTAAATGCAAGATATACTGGCATTTTAGAGCACGTAAGAAGTTTATAGACTTAATAGTCTGAAGAGCGCGCCTTGACATACAGTTTGTACCATCTAATTAAATGCTAAAAAGAATACAGCTTACCTGAGCTACTATAGACAGAATGCCTACCACAGCAATAAACGCTGCAATGCTGGCAGATCCAAAACCTATAATCTGAAGAGAAGCAGAAAATACATAAAACAAATGCCAAACACAATCCAAAACAATCACAAGCAAAGAGGTATCTTTTTCAAAGAAAACACTGATCTCTGCTTATAATCTAAATCTATACAGGAAGCGTCCTCTTTCAAGAATAATCCCTAACTTGATCAATTGACAAGAAATCAACACAAGAAGAAAAATAATGCCTTCAAAAAAGGAAACAGAGGAAGTAATGTATTTGGAAACTCCCACAGACACAACAGCTTTTCAATAGGCAAGATCCCATCTCAAAATATACAAACTGCTTGTATATATGTATCACAACTTTATGAACACATGCTTAAACTTATGCCAGGGTTTATGCACCAGGAGTCAAGTCTTGGCTTAGCAAAGTACACCGACTTTATTTTTTAAAGCTGTATTTTGCCAGAACAGTTTTCTGAGCAAAGTCTTCAATAAGAAACATGTCTTAGGGAATACTTATTTAAATGTCCTTAGTGAGACACGAAGAGACCAACGTTTACCTGTCGCAAGTACAGAAAAAAGCTTGAATACTGGCCAGCCTCAGGCAGATAGGAGAGGAACACTGTAATGCATATCAGGAGAACTGTAGAATCTTTTCTAACCTTCTTCAAAGACTGTAGAGAAACAAGTATTGGAACACTTATACAAAATCTAATGAAAGCACAGAGAAAGCAGAAGGTAAATTCACTTTTTAAAAATGTTTTAACCATGCACATCAGTTAAGCAAAAGTCATTAAAAAAATCACACATGGAAACAGATAAGCTGAACATTAAGTTCTAAACAACTTCCTGTTATATATGGCTTGAGGTATCTGATTCTTTTGCAAAGTGTCCTTTGATTTTGAAGCTACTACTCAGTGCCAAATTACAAGTATTCACTGAAAACAGCATCATACAGTATTTAGGGAAATGCATATCTTCCAACCAATCTCCATAACAATCTGTTCAGAAAGATGTTAGCAAATAATATAGCCTCATTACAACTGGTTCTCTTCCCAAACTATTATTTTCCTTGTTCACCCTTATACTTGTTCACCTTATAGTTGTTTACCCATAATATGAATCACTTCGAGTAACTAATAAATTGTGGAACACAAATTCTTTTAACTGCAGTCTTTCAAGATTGTCACTCATCTCTTAGCATTCATAAGCAGTTCCCAGCAAGATGAAACCTCATGAAGCACAATCACTCCTTCCTCTCTTAAGACGTCAAGGTGTAACACAAACACAAATTAGCTAAGTAAGTGTAAATAAGTGAACAAGTCACTAGAATAACTGCATGTTTTAACCCTTCAAATATATGCCTGTAGGAAAATCAGGCTTTACAGATTCATTCTAGATTAAAAAGAAATCAAATACAGCCAAAAGTGGAATTCAGAAGTGGGGAGACATGTTGCCAACCAAAACTAGGAAGCATAAGATGAACATGGAAAGTCTTACAGGATCAGGTTTGAGGGTCTGTAGCAGAGTAAATATTCAGCATTTCTCTTACGATAAAACAGAATAAGTTAGAAAAGGAAAGCATTTTCTTTTTGGATTTCAAACCAAACATTGTTTCCTAGTCAAGAATTATTTAATCCATAAAGTTTGGTTTCAGTTTTTAAGTGTAGCTAGACCTTTCATGCAAGAGTAAAGAACAGAGATTATGGTATACTGAACAGTCAATCTAGAAATAAGATTAAAAATTTCTCAAGCTTATAAAATGGAATTAATTATTATTGATCAATCATCAACTAATTATTAATTACTTATTACTCTTACTGCGAAAAGATCTGCTTGTTCCCATGATATAGAAGCTCCCCATGAAGCTGGTCTTATTTTTTCTGGCAGAGATTCAGGTACAGCTAGCAGAATGAAACAGATGTCCACAACTGCCACCAATGTGGCCACTAGCACGACGAGGTTATCTCCATAACTGGCAGACAAGTATGCTCCAATGGCAGGACTAGTTACCAAACTTGCTGCAAAAGTGGCAGATACCTGCACACAAGAACAGTTCACAAATTTCTCAAAGTAGTCGTTCTGCCACTGAAGAAAAATGAAGCAACCACCCCTCCCCAGAAATGTGGTTTTGAAAATAACACCAGTCAAAATTAAGTAAAAAAAAAACCCACAAAGAAAAAAAAAAAGAAAAAACAAACAAACAAAAAAAACCACAGTAAACAGGGGTCAGGATAAAATTTCCCATTTCCCCATCCTCCTCCACAGCCCACCAGAGGAGACAGCAGTTAAAGAGCAAGTTTGGCCCAAAAGAAACAGCTCTTACATTCAAATGCTCTAAAATGGTTGTTTTCCAATTACCACTGAAAAAGTTGTCAGCACATTTAAATGCCTGCCTAAGCGAACCTGAGCCTCAGCACTCTGGGTAATACATAGAATAATACATAATGGCTTTGTTAACAGTTTGCATTTTAAATACGTAACAACCATAAGTTAGCACAGCAAACTAGAAAATCATTAGCTACATCTTCAATAACTGCTTTGCTTCATATTATGCTGTAGTGACAAGCAGCTACAGGGCACTTACTATATTAATATACATTGGAACATGATGAAAAATCAAGTACTGTAGTTAAATTTCACTATTAAAACCTTCAGGAAAGGTTGTAATAAAGCTGGTATGTTTGGGTTTTTTAATGACTACTCTTTTCCAGTGCCCAAACTAAAAACATTCCGCAGAACTGTTTTACAGAATAAGAACACAAACTAGAAATTTAGCTTTATGCAAAGATAGAAAAAAAGTCTTAAGGCAAAGGTGTAACAGATTAGAAAGAGATACAGTCCTCATCAAAACAACCACACTTTTGTCTGTCGCTTTAAAGAATTTCAGATGAAGGTGTTTCTGTGAACAAACAACAAAAACCCAAACAAAACACACCTGTCTGAAGACAGGAAATATATGTTCTATCAATATATACTTGAAGTCCTCTTTAAAGGCAGGAGAAATAAAGAGGGGATTCGAGAACTTTTGCACCTGTTGTCTGCTCTGCTAAACAATACACACAAGTCTGGTGAAGAGAACTAAGTCCTTTACTTTCTTAACTGTTAAACCAACTTCTGAGGAATCATCCACCTCTAAGGCTAAAAAGAAATGGAAACCTTAACAGCTCAAATACAGTACAGTCAGCCAAAAACTCAAGTCCATGAATACCTGTGTAGTGAAAACATAGGCACAGAGGATGAAGGGATAAATGACTTTCAAAAGCTAAGGGCATCTACCAATGGGCATCTACCAATGGGTCTGCAAAACCTAAACCAATATAGGTACTCATGAAAGCAAACTAAGCAAGAATTACATTATTACTGAAAAGGTTAGTTTGTACTAATCTGAACCATTTTCTTTCTCTCTTGCTAACTAAAAAAAGTCACAACAAAGTTAACAAAACTACTACATTATGCATTTTCACCCTTCCTGACTATTTTGACTACAGAAGCCATTCTGTATTTGAAAGAAATCACATAAAGTGCAATTTATGTGTGGTGGAAAGATATTGCTAGATTAAAGTACTAAGTAACTTTTATTAAATAACAGGTATTAAATAACCCTTAGGAACATTTCTTGTTCAGCCTACAAAACTTAAAACCTGTTTTGTTACATGTGCCTTCTATGCAGATAAAGTTGTCAAATTCTTACTCTGTTCTTATGAGCACAGAGCAGTCTGTGAGACACTGAAGAGTCTAACGTGTATTTCCCAAACTCTTACACAGTGCCTTGATGCTTCATATTCACTCTTTTCTCTATCAATCTCATTACATTAACCAGGAAACAATCTGTGCACCAAAACACAAGTTCAATACGAAGGTCATAATCTGACCTTTTTTTTCCACGTTTAGCATATCTTACCAGTCCATACGCTGTAATTCTTTCATGTTCTTGTGTTACATCAGCTACATAAGCAAATATTACAGAAAAGGTAACAGAAAAGATTCCAGACACCGAAATCAAAGCGAAGTACCACCTAATGATTTAAAAGCAACAATTAGAAAGTTTAAGCTAAGACGTCTAGCTATCTTACTAATCAATCAAGTTTGTATTTAAGCTATGAGAAGTGTTCCTCAAGAACTAACATACACCTTTACTAGAGATGAATGACATAGTCTCACCTAAATACTGAAACACAGCATTTTAATTTTTTATATTCTACTATTTACTTTACATCAGCCTGAAGTAAGTGGTCCTTTCAGGACAGGCTGCCTATATATTTTCACTCTCAAAGCTGAAGAAGCTTAAGTTATAAAAAATTAAATATCTGAGAACTTAGATTTTTCAGCCAATTGAGGAATAATGTATCACATATAATGCTTCAGAAACTAAACTCTCAATGCACTCGGTGTACACAAACTTCTTTTGTAATCCTTCTACACTACACAATGAACGTAAATAAAACTGAAGCCAAGTCAATTGCACTCAGTTAAGACTTCAAAGTTGCCTAATAAAGACTTAAAGGATCTAATTTACAGCAATTATACTTTTCTGTTGTAAATAAATTCCCAGGTTCATTCGGTTTTACAAGTATGTTTCTTACAGCATTTTTACTACCCGGGGGAATAAAAATTAACATCTGAGCTTAAAACCGAGTTAGAAAGGACTATTGAACCATTTAATTAGTTATACTTGTGTACCTTAAAAGTAGAACTTATAAAATGCGATTTAGTTACATTTTTAACACTCGAAAAGCTACAGAATATCACAACCACATTTTGAATGGAAAATGGCATTCCTCTTGTCTCATTGTCGCTCTCCCACTTCCCCAAACTTGTCTGCTTGGATTCCTTCTGTATTGAGAACCTTGCTATTATTCTGTCTCTACCACTTACCATGGACTTATTCTCATTAATGGAATTGGGGCACAAGTGAAGAAAACTGTAATAAGAAGAAAATATTTTCTTCCCCATGCATCTGATAGAGCACCTATTAGCGGAGCACTAAGAAAAGAGAAAAAGCCCTGTGACAGAAAAAAAAACAATTAATATGTGTATATATATACACATTTCCAAGTTTTACTTGACAACATAGAACTACCAGCAAACTCGACTTAAAATTAACGACAAAATTGTAGTTAACTGAAACAGTACGAAACTTCTACTTTTTAATGATTCTGATGTTTTGTATTTAAAATCTATACAACCTAACTGCACTGAAAAAAAAAAACAAACCAAAAAAAAACCCATATATTTCTTCAAAATCAATTTAATTCAATACAGAAGTACCACAGACTGCAAAAGCTACAATAAAACCCCAAAAATATCATATTATAGAACAGTTTATGTTGGAAGGAACCTTAAAGATCATCTAGTTCCAAGCCACCATCCACTACACCACGTTGCTCAAAGCCCCATCCAACCTGGCCTTGCACACTGCCAGGAGAGGGGTGCCCACAGCTTCTCCGAGCAACGTGTGCCAAGGTCTCACCATCCTCACAGTAAAGAATTTCTTCCTAACATCTAACCTAAATATGCCCTTTTCAGTTTAAAGATGTTACCCCTTGCCTATCAGTAGAAGCCCTTCTAGAAAGGGCCTTTCCAGATTGCTTGCAGGTCCCCTTCTCTTCTCTTCTGCAGGCTGCCTCTTCTGCAGGCAGCCTTCTCTTCTCCAGGTTAAACAAACCCAGCTCTCTCAGCCTCTCTTCACAGGAGAGCTGCTCCTGCCCTGACCATCTTCATGGCCCTCTTCTGCACTTGCTCAAGCAGGTCCACATGCCTCTTGCATTGGGGGCCCCAGACTGGATGTGACACTGCAGGTGAGGACTCATGAGAGCAGAGCACACGGGGAGAATCATCTCCCTTGGCCTGCTGGCCATGCTTCTTTGGACGCAGAACACGGTTGGCTTTCTGGCCTGCAAATGCACATTGCGGAGTCACGTTTTGCTTCTCATCAACCAACACACTCAAGTCTCTCTCCTCATGGCTGCTCTCAATCCATTCTCCACCCAGCCTGCATCTGTGCTTGGGATTGTCCCAACCCAGGTGCAGAACTGGAACCTTGCATTTGGCATTGTCTCTGACAAAGACGTTAAACAGCGCCGGTCCCAATACCAGTCCTAGAGGGACACCAATTCTCATTGGTCTCCACTCAAGTATCGAGCTGTTCACTATAACTCTTTGAGAGTGCAACCCTCAAGCCTATTCCATATCCACTCAGTGGTCCATCTGTCAAACCCACGTCTTTCCAATTCAGAGACAAGGATGTCTAGGAAGTTAGGTCTAGCGGGGGCTGGTGGAGCTGGTCCAATAAAGAAGGGCAGTTTTGGCAGGAGGCTTGCCAGACTGGTCAAGGATGCTTTAAACTAGATGTGTTGGGCGAGGGGGGCATCATTCCATCCCGCCACTCCTAGTCAGTTGCCAGCAGCTATAATAAATGCTTGGACCAATTCAGAGATATTCTGGCTGCTCCAGCCAATGAGCCAGCTTCATTTGGAGCTCGGCTCAGATGCCTCTATACAAATGCCCGTAGCACGGGGAACAAACAAGAGGAATTAGACATGTGTGCTCTTCTACGGGACTATGATATTATAGGCATCACAGAAACATGGTGGGATGGCTCCTATGACTGGAGTGTTGGAATGGAATGTTACAGGGTCTTCAGAAAAGACAGGCCTGGCAGGTGCGGAGGGGGAGTTGCCCTTTGTTAGGGATAGGCTGGAGAGTATGGAACTCTGTCTGGGGACAGGTGAGCAGTTAACAGAGAGCTCGTGGGTCAGGGTTAAAAGGAAAACAGCGATGGGAGACATTACTGTGGGGGTATGTTATAGACCACCTGATCAAGAGGAATCTGCGGATGAAGCACCCTATAGGCAGATAGGAAAAGCCTCACGCTCACAGGCCCTCGTTCTCATGGGTGACTTCAACCACCCTGACATCTGTTGGAATAACGGTACTGCCCAGCACAAGCAATCCAGGAGGTTCCTCGATTATGTGGAAGACAACTTCCTTCTGCAAGTAATAGAGGAACCGACAAGGGGAGGTGCCATGCTTGAACTTGTGCTCACCAACAGGGAAGGGCTCGTTGGAAACATGGCACTGCAGGGCAGCCTTGGATGCAGCGACCACGAGATGGTTGAATTTGAGATCCTTAGGACAGTGAGAAGAGCGTGCAGCAAGCTCACTGCCCTAGACTTCCAAAAAGCAGACTTTGGCCTCTTCAGAACCCTGCTTAGTAAGGTTCCATGGGATATAGCCCTAGGGGCGAGGGGGGCCCAAGATTCTTGGTTGGTCTTCAAGGATCACCTGCTACAAGCTCAGGAGTGTTGCATCCCAACTAGAAGGAAGTGCAGCAGGAGTGCCAGGAGACCTCCTTGGATGGATAAGGAGCTGCTGAGGAAAATTCAAACGAAAAAAGAGTTTTATAGAAAGTGGAAGCAAGGACAGGTGGCCTGGGAAGAGTACAAAGTTATTGTCCACGAAGCTAGAGACCAGGTTAGGAAAGCTAAGGCCCAGTTAGAATTAAACTTGGCTAGGGATATTAAGGATAACAAGAAGGGATTCTACATGTACATAGCAAATAAAAAACAGATTAGGGAGAACGTAGGCCCCCTCAGGATGCTCTCGGGTGAACTAGCTACACAGGATTTGGAGAAGGCTGAGGTTCTGAATGACTTCTTTGCCTCGGTCTTCTCTAGCAAAGGCTCTGACCGCACCACCCAAGTCTTGGAAGGCAGACACAGGGACTGTGAGAATGAAGACCTTGGGCCCACTGTAGGAGAGGAATTGGTTTGAGACCATCTTAAAAATCTGAACATGCACAAGTCCATGGGTCCTGATGAAATCCATCCATGGGTCCTGAAGGAGCTGGCGAATGAAGTTGCTAAGCCGCTGTCCATCATATTTGAAAAATCATGGCAGTCAGGTGAAGTTCCCGACGACTGGAAAAAGGGAAATATAACCCCCATTTTCAAGAAGGAGAAAATGGACGACCCGGGGAATTACAGCCCAGTCAGTCTCACATCTGTGCCTGGCAAAATCTTGCAGCAGATTCTCGTGGAAGGCATGGTAAGGCACATGAAAAACAACAAGGTGCTTGGTGACAGCCAGCATGGCTTCACCAAAGGGAAATCCTGCCTGACCAATTTGGTGGCCTTCTATGATGGGGCTACAGAACTGATGGACAGCGGTAGAGCAGTTGATGTCATCTACCTGGATTTGTGTAAAGCGTTCCAACACTGTCCCACACAACATTCTTGTCTCTAAATTGGAGAGACATCAATTTGATGAATGGACCACTCGGTGGATAAAGAACTGGCTAGATGGCCGCACACAAAGAGTTGTGGTCAGTGGCTCAATGTCCAGCTGGAGACCAGTAATGAGTGGTGTCCCTCAGGGATCGGTGTTGGGACCGGTCTTGCTCAACATCTTCGTCACTGACACGGACAGTGGGATTGAGTGCGCCCTCAGCAAGTTTGCCAATGACACCAAGCTGTGTGGTTCGGTTGATACGCTGGAGGGAAGGAATGCCATCCAGAGGGACCTTGACAGGCTTGTGAGGTGGGCTGATGCCAACCTCATGAAGTTTAACCATGCCAAGTGCAAGGTCCTACACCTGGGTCAGAGCAATCCCAGACACAGCTACAGGCTGCTCAGAGAAGAGATTCAGAGCAGCCCTGCGGAGAAGGAATTGGGGGTGCTGGTTGATGAGAAAATGAACATGAGCCAGCAGTGTGCGCTCGCAGCCCAGAAAGCCAACCGTATCCTGGGCTGCATCAAAAGGAGTGTGACCAGCAGGTCAAAGGAGGAGATCCTGCCCCTTTATTCTGCTCTCGTGAGACCTCACTTGTAGTATTGTGTACAGTTCTGGTGTCCTCAACATAAAAAGGACATGGATCTGTTGGAACAATTTCAGAGGAGGGCCACAAGAATGATAAGGGGACTGGAGCACCTCCAATATGTAGATCGGCTGAGAAAGTTGGCGCTGTTCAGCCTGGAGAAGAGAAGGCTGCGTGGAGACCTCATAGCAGCCTTCCAGTATCTGAAGAGGGCATATAGGGATGCTGGGGATGGACTCTTCATTAGGGACTGTAGTGGTAGGACAAGGGGTAATGGGTTAAAACTTAAACAGGGGAAGTTTAGGTTGGATATAAGGCGGAAATTCTTTCCTGTTAGGGTGGTGAGGCACTGGAATAAGTTGCCCAAGGAGGTTGTGAATGCTTCATCCCTTGCAGTGTTCAAGGCCAGGTTGGACAAGGCCTTGGGTAATATGGTTTAGAGCGAGGTGTCCCTGCCCACGCCAGGGGGGGTGGAACTCAATGATCTTAAGGTCCTTTCCAGCCCTAACTATTCTATGATTCTATGTCATGCAGGACAGCATCAAATGGGTTGTGGAAGTCCAGGCAGATGATGTCACACCTTCATTACTCACTAATGTCATAGTCCCATCTTGGAAAGCCACCATATTCATCAAGCACGATCTGACAGTACCAACCACTTCCTTACTTTCCATGCCCTGAGCATAGCTTCTGCATGGATTTGCTCCATGATTTTGCCAGGCACTCAGACGAGACTGATCCAGGGTCTTCCTTTTTTCCCCCTTTTTAAAATCAGGGATTCTATTTCCCCTTTTCCATCAGTGGGAACATCAGTGGACTGCCACAACTTCTCAAATATCATGGATAGTGGCTTAGACACTTCATCTGCCATTTCTCTCAGGACCTGTAGATGCTTCTCACAGGGCCCCGCAGACCCGTGCACTTCAAAGTCCTTAGATGGTCTTGAACCTCGTCTCCTGCAGTGGGAGGTTCTTCATTCTCTCAGTGTCTGCATTTGCCTTCTGTGACTTGGGCAGTGTGGCTGAAGCTCTTGCTGGTGAAGACCAGGGGAAAAACGTCACTGAGTACCTCCCCCTTCTCCACATCCCAGGTAACAGTGTCTCCCATTTCCTTCCACTGGGAGGCCACACTTCCCTGGTCTTCTTTTTATTGCCAGCATGCCTACAGAATCTTTCCTCATTGCCCTTGATGTCCCTGGTGGGATTTACTTCTGTCAGGGCTTTAGCTTTTCTAACCTGGTCCCTGGCTGCTCCAACTATTACAGTCTAGTTTCATAATGGACTTCTTTGTTTTATACTACCTAATTACCATATACAGGACAAATGTACACTGCAATAAGTATGAGGACCATTTGACTAAGCTTGACAACTTAGGCAGTAGAACACCATAATGATATTCCAGTGGCAATTGTCAGACTTACAGGTACATCTGTTATGAAAAAACTGACTAAGGATCAAATATTACCATTTTTCAGCACTTCATGAAGTCCTGAAATACAGGCCTCAAAACTGTTATGTATTAGTCAGAAGAATTAAAATAAGCAAAGCCTTTCACAGGTTTGTTAACTGGAAAACCCCCAGAACAGATGCATCTTCCTTCTAATAAGCATAATGTTGTCTCATCAATACAACTCTGACATAAATACAAATGTTAGTAAATATATGGTTCCACAAACACCTCAATACACTGGAATTCTACTCCAGCTAACTTTAGCTAACCTCCAGTATTCAAATATAGTCACCTTCAAGTTTAACATATATGTACAGTATATTGTACTAAATCACTGTTCTTCCAAATCCCAATAAACAATTCCGATTCCAATGATTTCTGTATGTAAATTTAGAGCAAAAGCTCTAAAGCCAGAACACCCAACCCTAGGATAGTTAGATGCCTTGGTTTTGCTCCTTGAGAGTCAGACTTCAGTAGAATATAACATATTTTGCTGTCACTTGAAACACTTTCAATTTTTCATAAATAGCATTTTAAAGAAAGTATGCTATGTATGCTCCCCTGCTTATTAAACCTGTTCGAGCAACACACAGATTTAGGCTATGATATGCTCTGTAGGTAATATATGGGAAACCTTCTACTCATACTTTTAAGTGATACTCACTGTAACATTGCAAACAGTTGAAAGGAAACACAAAGAGGAACATGAACTTTGCTCTTGTAAGAGAGAAATACAAAGTTAACTTCCTCTTTTAGTGTCACATCCCCAGGGCATGGTGACATCCTAAAGATGTCATGTTTTTACATAAGAACAACGCTTTAATTTTGTTACAGGATACAAAGCTCAATTTCTGGCTGCTATAAATCAGTCAAAACTTACAGTAAGTGCTTTGAAGCCTCTCAGTAAGACAGCAAAGAAGAGACTTTCAAGCTTTAGTTATGCTAGAGAAAATTTTCAAGCTTTTCTTGTAGCAACAATCCAGCATGACCATCATGTGAATGAAGTGGTATAAGCTATAAGCTGGCCTGAATATCCTGACCATCACAGAACACTAAAAAACACTGATTAAAAAAAAAATAATCATTTAATATTAGGAAGCAGACATTAAAAACCTATCTGTATTCTCAGAAGGATCCTTAACAAGATTAAAATAGCTACAACTGGTACCTATTTAAATGAGAGGAATTTAAACTTCGAGAAATAATACGCTTGTTTTAAAGTGATACAATTTAGCAGTAAAACTGGAGCTGAGCCCAAGAAAACAATCATTACAATGAAAAGAAAAAAAGGGTTTAAGAATTAATACAATTAATTACATTCTCAGTGGTTTGAATGTTGTTATGGAAAATGCGAGACAGAACAAATTGCAATACAGGAACACGCAGAATATTTACATCAGAGGCTAAAAAAAAAAATAAAAATCTTACCTTAACACCCTGAATAAGACCATTCATTAAAAATGTATGATGGGAAAATGTTTCATGTAAGACCTGATGGGGAAAAAAGGATTACCTGAATCAGAAGAGACAGGAGAAAGTTGACACAAAGTTTAAATCTGATTTATAAAACATGGTAACTCTACTGGGACTTCTTAAGAAAATATCTTATTCCAGAATTACACTCTTATTTGTCTCTGGAAGAATATACTGACAAGGTTTAATATCAATTTACTGGCAAAAATTCGTCTGCTGGCACAGATGGCACTATACTGCAGAGACAGTTTGGTTTGGGTTACTCTAATCAGAAAGAGATCAATATAAGCAAAAGGTAGCTCCATGTGGTATAAATAACAGAATTTTTGAGGCAGAGAATTCCTTCAAAATGTTGACTCAATCACTGTTACTAATAAGGAGTAAAAATGGGAGTCAACTAACTTACTCTGTCAAGAAAAAAACAGCACTATACTCACAACTGGATAAAAAGGCACTGCGCAAACTGTTTCTGCATGAATTGCAGATATACAGTAGTCAGAAACACTTCTAATGAACAAGTAGATGCTTATAAATACTAGCAATAGTTCTGAGCATTTCATGTATCCTTTAACTACAGCTATGAATTCATTTAAGGTGCTTTACCAGCAGTCTTAATTCAAGGGCAAGCATGTTAATCTATACTAAACAGATTTACCATAAATATGCAAGAGAGTTAAAAGGCCTCACCCTTGCTATTGTGTGTATTAAAAAAATTATTGCAATAATTAAAGCATGTATGCACACACTTCCAAATACATTTGCTCATTTTATCTACAGGTAAGTGGCAACTAGTATTGCACAGTGTTAAATGTGGAGACTCCTGGAATTCAGTTAAAGAGGTAAGCAGAAAATGCAAAACAGATTAAAACCGCAATTCCTAGGAATTAGTAAATTAATTTTTGTCATTATTGTCAAGAAGACAGCTGATCAGTGATACTTACTGTTAGCATTGGAGTTGTCAAGAGCCCCCAGGCGAAGAATTCTAGAAATATGACCACCACCGCATGGTACACACTTGGCCGACTAATACCATGTTGCTGTGAAAGAAAAACACATGCAGCGGTTTGTAAACATCCAGTTAAGTTACATGTGCAAAGACCTCTTAGAAACAGCCAGCTCTCAGAATGACCTATTACCAAGCCCTTGGGAACCCTAACAAGTCAAACAAGAGTGGAGAAGAGTTATTACAGAACAATAAAAGATCTCCAGAAAACTTAAGAACATTTGTTCCCTCAAATGCTTGCTGATTGAAGAGAACTATATTCCCAGTTCCTGATATTGCCCTGTACTGCTCAAACCTCCAGTGTGCCTTCAGGCTCCATCTCCCCTATTCACAACCCTTCCACAGCAATGTGACAAATGGTGTAACTCTCCCTGCTATCTCCACAATGACAATGAAACAGACCACCTTTATGAAGATCACATCACCGTTACAACAAAATCACAACAATGTACATAATCATAGGAGCTGTAGTTTTTGTATTTGAAACTGCACAAGTATAAAAAAAGAAGGGGCAACTTATGCCAACTGTGCAACTGCTTTCTGCTAACTGCTGACCTACACTTGTGTGTGTGCCTACGCATTAGAGACTCAGGAGCTATTCTGCTGGTCAACAAGTAACCCCATACGAATTAGCAAACCATGGAAGTGCTTATAATGCTTAGCATGCTGTGAAATTGCATCCGTTCAAGACCCAAGGACTGGATCCCAGGTAAGGAGAGATCTGGAATCAAGCATCAAGTTATTTTCAAGAAAATAGCTTATAATTGATCATATACACAGCCTGCACCACTGATAAGAAAGCAATAAAAACTCACTCATTTTAAAATCAAAGAACTTTCTAAAAATACTTATACTTCCTTTTAAGATGAAAGTACCCCAGAAGTAATAGACTTCACTCATTTCTATATTGAGAAAATACTTCACAACAGAACACAACTGCATGCAATTTACACAAAGAACTTAAGACACACGTGAAAAATTGTTATAAACTTGAAGCACAAAGAGCTCCAGGCTTCCAGAACTAGACAATATGGGGACGATCAACTGAATTCTTCATGATTAAAAAGATTTAATAAAATTTCAGAAATAGTGCAGATTCGGTAAAATACAAATTGCTTTCATCATCCCCATCCCCAAAATTTTAAAGCTTTAATGTTAAAAATTAAGTGTCCTCAGAAAAAAATTAAAAATTTGTTATGGGCCTATCTTCTATCCACACAGATCATCTTCAGATGACAGTCCAGTGTGTGGGCTGAGAAACTACATATGAACATTAGAATCCCTTTCAAATGCAGCTGCTGGTCAAGCTATTATACTTGCATAATCAATAATGAGCAAAACATTACGTAATTTCAAATGCTTAACAATAAAAGTTTAAGGCCATCATTATAAAATCTGAAGCCCTAGGAGTTTTAACAAAATACCCACTATTTCTCCATTTTTACATTTCCATACTTTTCGCTTACACCCAATTCTTAAAAACATTTCTGCTGCTTCCATTAGAAGCAAAACAAAGCCCAAAGTTAATCTGAAGATAACAAGGAAAACTACTGGGATGCAATACAAAGGTTTTTTTGAAGCAGAACACAGCTGTTGAACATTAATAAACCCATGAGGAGTTGTCAAGATCATAAATCCAGCTGGCGAGGAATTGCTCATAGAAAAGGAGAAAAAAAAATTAAAACACAGTATCAATAAGAATAGACATTTTAAAGAAGAGCTTTTACAAGTCACCCTAAAATATGCCACAGCAAGACACAGTTTTATAGCTAGTCCCAGATCTTCAGGGCAAAACTAGAATTAACAGTATTCATTTAGTCACACCACTTTTAGGTAACTATCTGTTAATTCAAATCTGTAATTTAACAATTAAAGTTGTCTGAATGGCTGCCAAAGCACCCTAACATCCAATTTCAAGCATGCTTACTGGTTGTTGGAAGGAATGTACATATTCCAGGGGAAAAAAATTAAAAAAAAAAAATTAAAAAAAAAAATCACTACACAAAAACACAAGCAAACAAAACCACTTTCTAACTACTCTGAAATCCTCCAGAGTGCAGAAGACTCTACTGGATAAACACAGCATGCTTTTTAGCCCACAGAGCTGCACAGAGACACCCTCAAATAGTCTCAACACCCAACCCGAAAAGTTCTAGGCAACCTGCTCACGCCTCACAGCTGATCCTGCCCTGAGGAGGATGAAATCTCTTTCAAGTGCTTTTTCAGTCATAGAATCATAGAATCATAGAATAGTTAGGGTTGGAAAGGACCTTAAGATCATCAAGTTCCAACCCCCTGCCATAGGCAGGGACATCTCGCCCTAAACCATATTACCCAAGGCCTCGTCCAACCTAGCCTTGAACACTGCCAGGGATGAAGCACTCACAACCTCCCTGGACAACCTGTTCCAGTGCCTCACTACCCTAACAGGAAAGAATTTCCTCCTTATATGCAATCTAAATTTCCCCTGTTTAAGTTTTAACCCATTACCCCTTGTCAAATAATTCTGTTATTTCTCAGGCAGATAACAACCAAACTCAAGCTGAACTTCTGAAGAGACAATCACAGGAACTTGCCCTCCACACCCTCCTCTGGGAAATTCTTTTCCACCAGGCAGTAGGATCTCTCAGGAGAGCCTGATAGTTGCTTGTTCCACTTCCAGTACACAGCCAACTTTGCAAACAGCACTCACAGTCCTTCCATTATACGTAAACCAACATTCAAGTGATTAAGTATGAAGAGTTCCCTTACTTTACTTTTTAAAAGTGTCTTCAAAACCATTCTCCCACTACACAAGTTAATTGCTGTAAGTACTTTTAATTTACAGAACAACCAGCACTGCAGTCCACTCTGCCAACTCCAAAGTTTTCAAGAAATCGAAGAACTGAGCAGAATCAGGAAAAAATGTTGAGAAACATGCACGAATCATTCATACACGAACCCTGAAGTTCATGCCAAACCATAAAGCGCATTCCCTTTCCACATTTATATTCACTGTTCTTTTCTTAGTTTCTCCCTCAAATTACACTTCAAATGCACTTTTCCTGCTATGTGTCACTACATCACTATTTTATTATTTTAGCTGATTCTAGCACAAATATTAGGCTACCAATCTGTCTCACTGCATTATGGATACTCTTTTCTCTCACACGTTACCCAGGTTGTTCTCTAGGCATACTGCATATTCACCTCTTTCTATTGCCTATTGTCTTTAATTTTCGAACTGAAGTATTTAGGAACCACCGTAATTCCAGCTGTTCCCCATGAATGACTCACTTACTGGAACTGGCAAGAATTCACTCAAGTGCAAAAAGCGCACAGAAGACCATAGCTGCTTTTGTCACATTAAGCAACCACCAAAGTGATAATGTGTATAAACTGCAGCCTAAAACATGTAATTTCTATGCAGTGCAAAATACACTGAACATAAGTGCAAGTACTCTCCAGTCCAACACAGTCTTTAGCATTTCAGATGTGCTTTGTAAGCTAGAACATAAATCATAAACAATTCAGCTTATGCATTGTCCAAACGTGTATTTCCGTTGCAAAAGAAATACCGTAAGCAGATTTGTATCTGGACAGCAAGATAATGATGCGCTCTCTCAAGTAAACGCTAGGCTAAATCATATTACACAGGACTAGAGTATCAGAATAACAACTCATTCAAAATGGAAAAGCCTGCACAGATTTGATAAATAGACTGTGCCTTGAAAAATTCCTGGAGTTCTCAAAAGAACATGCATGGATAAAAGAGGGCACATTAATAAGCCTTCTGAGAATTAAGTAAACATACTTTAGGACCCTCACCAAAAGCTCTCAAAAAACCAGAAAAAAAACAATACCAAACAACAACCCACAAACCAACCAACCAAACCCAGTCTGTTTCCACAACTGAGGAAAGTTACCAGATGTTTCCCAGTGCCCTGTCCCAGTGCATGTGTAGTTCAACATATTCATAACCAAGCTGTAAAAAAGCTGAAAGCAAAGTAACAAAGTTCACTGATGACAAAAACCAATTCACATTAGGAAAGTTATAGGGTAATAGTGAAGAACATCAGAAGCTGACAAAATCAGTAAAGCAATCTAAGTGGCAGATTAAAATTAATGTAGATAAATTTAACTAATGCAAACATGGAAAAAAATTAATTCCACACATAGGATGACTATTATTTAGTTATGCGATCCTAGAGAAAACAGTTCCATGAGACACCAGTTTAGCAAGTGGCTTACAAAAGAGTATTCAAAGATCTACCATGTTAGAAAAAGTATTATCATTATATTGCTGTATAAACATGTGATATGCCTGTCCTAGCCCTCTGCTTCTGGTGTGCTAACCATCTTTATTATGTCTCCCTCTTATCCCATGACTGCTTGTTTTGTTCAGAAGATTTAAGCAATACACATTGTTTAATAGCCTATTTTACAGAAGCACAAGTGAAAGAGGCCCACAGAAGGACAAAGAACATTGCCAAAGGTATAGAAGAATGCTGAAGTAAGCTCCTCCAAGCTATAGTTGAAACATCTGCAGAAAGATACAACTGGGATTTATTGAACTTGGAGTGCCATGAAGGGCATGAAGAGAAAACAATTGTCACTGCCTTAAGCTAAAATACAAGAAAAGTAAAGTGGAACCAAACACACCAAGTCAAAATTGGAATGTCCTGTTGGTGTCCAAAATGTTTTGCCACTTTTTTTTTTTTTATTCCTGGGACCACATTCCTGTAAACTGGACAAGTTTAAGAACCAGGATTCTGAAGAACATAAAACATGAGAACACCATTCCTGCTTCAGTCTTTGAAGCTAAGGCCATCAAGGGTCCCAGAGACCAACCAAGCACTCCGGAGAACAATAACCATACACCCTGACACATTCTGAAAACTCCGCTTTAGACAGTACTGCATTGCCTAATTAAAACACACAAATAATATATAACCAGCATATTATGCTACACCCAATTGCCAGATGATTTAAACATTGAAGTTTTCTTCTTAAAAGGTAGAGAGATGCATGACACTGAGAAGTAACTCTAAAAAGCACAGACTGCTTAGTTGATACACATGCTTCTCCATGGCACAGATAATTGCTCAAGCTCATTGCCCAGCAGTGGTTACGTTTGGATCTTCAGCACTAAAGTATCAAGCCCTCTTTATACAATTAAATTTCTATTGCTCTAGCCTAGCATACTTTCTTCTAGACACAAAACCTTTCAAACTGCTAAAACATGAAGGATCAGTAACACATACTTAGTACAGCATAAGTGCCCTCTCAGAATGAATATAAGCAAGAGAGATTTTGTTTTTACAGAGAGCAGCTAACCACCCCTGGCAATGGTTCAGAGTTCAGACTCAGCGTTAATTTAACATGATGGGAAGATTCAGAATGACACTGGCAACCCTGAGAAGGCAACACAGTTTCTCTCTTATTATTCAGATTTAACAGGGAAAATAATTTTTGTGGGGGAAACAATACTGTTCGACAAAGGACTGGCTACCCAAACTGCCAACTTCAACAATATATTTACTACTGGCAAGTCAATTTCCAAGCCAGAAATTTAAAAAAATAACTTGACGGACTGAAAGGTGTTTTGGTAAAGTCTTGTAACATTTAATCAAACTGCACCAATTTCACCATGTTATGTTTTTTTTTTTTTTGAAGCATTAAAAAGAAAAATAGTAGCAGTAAGGGTAAAAATCTGTAATTCTGGCAAATATATACCAGTTGTGCTGTGCTGTTTAAAACAGTTTAACACATACAGGCTGGCAAATTTCCGAGATATACAGTTCTGAACTTCAGAATGCATTCATTATGCTTCTAAAAAACCACGGAGGTACTGGGCTTCACAACAGCTGAGGCATTTTACAGTGTCTGAGAACATGAAACTAATGTCTGATTAATTCTCAAAGAGGTATAGAAGTGTGTTTTATCCTCAGATATCCTATCTGGGGACTTCTCCCATAGGCGCACTTATTTAGATAGAACAGTATACTGTATTTTGCTAAAAAGCTTCCCTACTATGGCATTATTTTACTGACAATAGGTTGCACAGAAATTAAGTATGTGGTATGAATATTCTGAGTGTCATGCTAAGTTCTATACTACCAGGGTTCATAATTCAGATAGAACAAGATTGCATAATCAGTAACAAAATGTCCGTGGCATCATTACTTCAATTTCTGAAGCTCACTGAAATCGAAGTAACACAGCCAACAGAAACTGATTTGAGTGAAATACTTAAACATACTACTACTCTCATTAGTTTTGAGCCAGTAACTCAGTTAATAAAAACTCATTTGCTTGGCATTTATATTTTAGTTCTTAACTTCAGTCAAGCCCATGTATCCAACATAGTGAATAGATAGAAGCTTGTTACTCCTAAGCTGGAGGGGTAAAAAGTCTTGTGCAACCTGACAGACTTGGTCATACTCTTTCACGTTGTCCTACTGATTTGGTGTGACAGAAGAATCAGAATAAAAATTAAAACATCCTTCACAGAGCAAGGAAGTGGCTCACCCAAATGACATTTCTTTATTTCCTCCTTTGTCGGCAGCCCCAAGGGCAAGCTTCTACTTTCAAATGCCAAGGATGGGCTCCCACTGATATCAAAGAGATCTCTACAGTTACATACAAGCCATGATCCAGCCCCTCATATTTTAGTTTGTATAAGCTCTTTCAATAAAGTCTAGTTAGAGTTCTAGCAGTATGACAGCCACATGAGAATCACAGGGAGGTGCAGAAGTGTAGTAACAAAGTATGAAACAGACTGCTCAGTCAGGAATTGTGAAGCAGACCCTGTAATTGTATGACTGCTATACCAATGTACAGAAGATAAGGTTAAAGTTCCATGTCCTCCACTCTGGTAGGAGACGCATTACAGGAACACAAAGTCCCTTATGGGTACAACTAGGAGGGAGGAGAGAAAAAAAAAAAAAAAAAAAAACTATCCAGAGACCAAAATCTGAAATCATTTTATAAAGACTTAATACTAAATAAAGTTGCTTGATTTTTGTTTTAATTTCTCTACCCATATCCTCCATTTCCTACTCTCTGTTAATATTTAAATAAATTTGTCTGGTTTTCCTTTACACAATGACAGCATCATCTTTACTGCTTTCACCCCATCATCCGTGTTGATAAAAATGAAAACTTACATTTTTTAACTAAAAAGTTAACAGGCTTCTTCTAGAGTTACCTTCCTATTCAGTCTTAAGACTGTCTTACCATATCTTACAGTAAAGTAACAGTATCCTACGCACCTACTGTTATAAATAAGAGTGGTACACAAACCTAGAACAACAAATACACCATACAGCATACATCAGTCACACAGCCTGCTTTTTGGAAGGCATAACCATTTCTAAAAGAGAACTGAAAGGCTCAAATACAAAAGTGATCCTTTACAGATGTGCAGCAGATACTTTGTAATTAACTTGCAACAAATAATTTGACTAATGAATTCCTTAGAACATTTTTTGTTTTTAAATCTTCTGTGGGTTAACCATTTATCAAAAGTACCTTAACCCCTTCATCAGATATGAGTAAGGGACAAAGAACCTACTGATACCAAACAGATGGGTTTCAATATTTATTTATTTATTTACATTTCTGAGGTTTAGCCATATCACCACATTAACGCTATGCCATTAATTCTCAACTAAAGATATCACAAGTTCATTCACTTCACGTTAACATAAAACAGTAAACTATCACCTGTCCAATAGCAGAGATGCTTATCCTTGGGAGGCCAGGTAGCACAGGTGGCAGATGTTGACTCCCTCCCACAAACTTAACTTCCAGAATGAGCAGTACCTGCAGCATATCTGAGTCTGTGAGTAAACTAATACCAAATTATTCAGGAAGACCCTAACATGAATACAGTCTAACAAAAAAAAAAAATTAATAGGGGGTAAGCCAGGTTGCAAATAAAACTTATGTGATTTCAACTTGCCAGAAGATTATCACAGCAAGGCTCTGCTAGTTTTCTGTCTGTACCCCTTCAAAACCCACACGTGACAGGATCATCCGTTTTGTTATTTCGCTGTTTTGTTACCCCTGGGTTCCTCTACTCCCATTCTGCTCTGGGATCACTGCCAACAGACAGGGTGGACTGTATGAGCTCTGATCCACCAGGCGCGAAACAACTCACCTGTCCCTACATACAGCGGAAAAGTTCAGGAAGTGTCATCTTAGATCGGTTTCAAAAGCATCTCATGAACATGCACTCACAAAGTGGAAGGCTTAAGCTACTCAGAAGACGTTTGTGCTGGGAAGTAATTACGGTTCGCTCCCACACAAACACAACTTCGGATGCTTTCAAGCGCACAGACCACCCCTTTCATATTAATGTATAAGCATCATACTGATGCTTAATGTAGTGGGAAGCGACGAAACAGAAAGAGACGCAAGTTATTAAAACTGCGCGGTAACGATATGGTTTTAGTTCACCAAGAGGCACCTCGCAGAACTCCGAAGGAAATCTAAGCTTTACTTACAGGCGCCTCGGATTTCTATGTTTTAAAAGAAAGTTTATTTACAGCCATTTGCTCTCAGGTATCGCCTCCGCCCGGGATCACCTAGCAACGAAACGCCCAAGCTAGGACAGAGCCGGGGCTGGCACAAGAAGTGGAGCGGACGAAGGGGAACCGCGGGCCGGTCCGACCCCAGGTGCCGCCAGCGCAGCCGGCGGGAACCCACCGCCTGGACACCCGGACGCCGCTGTCGGGAGCAGCCGGCTCCCCACGGGTGGCGAGGCCCGGCGGGACAGGCCGGGTCGCTGCCGCCCCCCGCAAATACCAGCGCCCCTAGCCCCGCCCCTCACCGTGCCGCTGCTGCCCGCCTTCAGGCCGACCCTCTTCACCAGCATGATGCAGTCGTCTCTCCCGGCGGCACCACAGCCCTCCCTCGCCGCCGCCGCCGCCTCTTCCTCCTCCGCCGCTGCCTCCTCCTCTTCTTCCTCCCGAGCCAGGGCTGGCGGCGGCTCCGGCTCGGGATTCATCCCCCTCTCACCATCCTCTCGGAGCGGCGGGGCCGAATGCGCGTCAGGGGCGGGGAGAGGCGGGGCAGGGAGGGTTGGAGGGCCCCGCCCGCGCCGCTTGCACGGTGCACCGCCTCCTGGCTCACGTGACCTCTCGGCACCACCCTGGTGCGGCCGCGGGAATGCTCCTTGCCGGCCAGACGCCGGGCGGAAGTCTTTCTGCGAATGGTTTCCGGAAGAGCGTCCGGTGCGGCGGCCAGAAAGGTGGCTGGGTCTTTCGCCGCCAGGCAGGTGCAATTGGAAGCTTACTGGCCTCTCCTTTAAGTATTACGAGGGCAGCCGTTATGAGAAGTATCACAAGATTTCATAAGAAGTTAGCTGTCCAGATGTGCACAGATGGAGTACTTTGAGATAATAAAGATCATGGCTACTAACAGTGAAAAACGAATGCATCGCGCCAGCTGCCCATCCAGAGTGTGCCGTTCACCAGACAGCTGAATATGGCCCGTGCATGTCTGATGCTGAGAGGGTTTCACCCTGGAAACCCTTACTTCAGCCTTGATACGTTATTGGGCTCAAGACTTTGTTTTCCCTGGTACCTCAGGTGGTCTGTGCTGCTAAGTATCAAGCTGCTTATAGTTTAGGAGCTTCTCATTTTGCTAGAATAAGAAATTTTAATTTAAAAAACATTTCCTGTGTGCTGTGTATATCAGGCTATATACTTGATAGGTATAGTGCATAGTGAAATTTATCTTTTAGGTTATCTTACACCACAGTTTAACAAGAATTCTCTTTTAGCAAAGTAGCATGCGTGGACTTGAACGCATTCCTGTATGTGACATTTTTTTGAAACTGTTGAAGACATTGGTATTTTAAGACCATGAGCTAAATGGGTAACACAAAATTATCTTTTTTATTATACAGGCATTAGTGAATCAACACGTAGTCTTTAAAATTAATTTTGCTAGCCAGCTCGAGAAAATCCTGTGTGAAAAATCATTCTTTCCACTTCTTTTGTTCTCTTAGCCTAGAAGTTACAAATATTTCATTTCTTCAAAAGTAGTCACCTGTTACTTTGAAATACAGCAACATGTTTTGCTCCTTTGAAGACCTGACCATTTTTCTATTAACTTATAAACAAAGGGGCTTTATCCCTTACCGTGGTGGGTGTTCTGGTCTTTTTTTTGTTTGTTTGTTTGTTTGTTTTTTGTTGGTTTTTTTTTTTTTTTTTTTTTTTTTTTTTTTGTTAACCAACAGGTGTCAAAATACTTAAGCTTAATATATCAGGTTTTGTAGGTAGACAGGTTTACGGCTAACACATCTGGTAGCAACCACATCCACCTTATCTGTCCTGTAGACTCTTGGCAACTGTACAGCCCTGTGGCAGAGGAGGGAGAGGACAGGAGTGTGCCATGGTCTGGTTGCTTCCCTGTCCATATGTCCAACTGCAGTACAAAGCAACACCTGCCCGTGTGCCCACTTCTCCCTACCTCATCTCAGATGGCTGCTAGTCTGTCAGACTAGGCTAGCACAGGCAATTTCACACCCATCCATAGCTGGCTTTGTTACCAGCTGCCACTGCCAATACTCTACTGTGGCACCACCACGTCTCCAGGGCTGGTTGCCGGGAGCTGGAGGCTACCTGTTGTCACAGCCGCAGGACTGGTGCACTGACCTAGTTCTGCAACACTATGACATGGCTATTACCTTCCACCATTCACAGTATCACAGTATCACAGTATGTTAGAGATTGGAAGGGACCTCAAAAGATCATCTAGTCCAATCCCCCTGCCGGAGCAGGAACACCTAGATAAGGTTACACAGGAACGTGTCCAGGCGGGTTTTGAATGTCTCCAAGAAGGAATCCACAACCTCCCTGGGCAGCCTGTTCCAGTGTTCCGTCACCCTCACTGAGAAGAAGTTTCTTCTCAGGTTTAAGTGGAACCTCTTGTGCTCCAATTTGTACCCATTACCCCTTGTCCTTTCATTGTTTGCCACTGAGAAGAGCCTGGCTCCATCCTCGTGACACTCCCCCTTTATATATTTATATACACTAATAAGGTCACCCCTTAATCTCCTCTTCTCCAAACTATAGAGACCCAGCTCCCTCAGTCTTTCCTCATAAGGGAGATGCTCCACTCCCTTAATCATCTTAGTTGCCCTGCGCTGGACTCTCTCCAGCAGGTCCCTGTCCTTTTTAAACTGAGGGGCCCAGAACTGGACACAATATTCCAGATGAGGTCTCACCAAACCATTTAGGTTTTAAAAAATAGTAATGCTGGAGGTGGAAATCAATCAGGTGTAGCAGAAATTTGAAGAACAAGAGCTCAACAAAGTTTGAAAGAGAATTAAAAGCAGCAGGTTCTACCCACTACCCAATTTTAAATACTTACATGATATCTAAAGCTGAGAATTTTGTCTTTGAAGACTAATTTTTTTTTTTGGGGGGGGGGGGGGGGAAGAGGGGAAAACAAAACAAAAGAAACAAACAAAAAAACCTTTTTATTTTGACCAAAAGCAATATTTACCGCCTTTGGATTTAAAAGACATGTACAATGCCAAACTCTGCATCCACCAGTGGCTGGCAATGCTGAGGATTTTCCAGACAACTGCAAGACTTGTGCCTTTCATCTCCTGAAATGAACTGAAGATTTTGCTAGTGATTCCCCTGCAGTACACATTTCAGGCACTAAAACAAAATATATAAATCAGCTTCCATCTAATTGGTTCTCTGCAGACTTAAATCCTCTGCAATCGACAGGGCAAGAGGCAGTGGGCTGAAACACAGGAGGTTCCTCTTACATGTCAGGAAACATTTCTCCACTGGGAGGTGACTGAGCATGGATAAAGGTTGCCCAGAGAAGTTGTGGAGCCTCTGTCTTTGAAGACATTAAGGAGCCCTCTGGATGTGGTCCTGGGCAATTGGCTCTAGGTGGCCCTGCTTGAGTACAGGACTTGGATAAGATGACCTTCCGAAGTCCCTTCCAACCTCAACCATTTTGTGATTCTGTGTTTATAACAAATTAACAATCATCATTTGCTAACCTGCTGTATTCTAATGTGCCTGTAGAAATATTCTATGTAGTTAGAACAGTTTGCTGTTGCTGCTGGATATCTATCATATAGAATTACCTTTTCATCACCTCTTTTCCATTATATAATTAATTTTTGGATTTTTCTGCAGCAGTGTTGCAGAAAAACTTGACATGTTTCATTGAGAACGGGAAGGGAGGATGGTGAGCTGGGAGCTCAAAAAATTTTTTTCCTGAGTGATAGGAAATTCCTTACTAGAAGCATCCGTGTTACAAGATATAGCATGTGCTGTTTTCCATATAAATAATAAATTATTACACTCATATTAAGGTTAAATTATCATGCAAAAATAATGGAATTATACCCTGTAAATTATTTATATAAATTTTTTATTTGTGGATGGTCATTCACAATGATATGACTTTGGGAGGATACTACAGGAGGAGCATATTGCTTGTGTCAGAGAAGGACATACACATTGGTTAGGCCATTTCCTCAATTCTGTAGACATAAGAGGCAAACGTCAAAATTAGGTATTGCGCCAATCAGTACAGGCTATTGTTATGGATGAGCTGTGCATCATATAAATATATACAGCAAAAATTAGTTACAGAAATTGAAATATTAGTCCATGAGATTACCTACAGTTGTCTGTGTTTTGTAAATGCCTATGAGTGTAACTTCCAACTGTCCACACTTACATGCTTAAAAGAAATTTTTTGTAATTCTCTGGTCCACAGCTGCAGGATACGGATTATTTCCCACTTTTGGCTAGCAGTTGTAGAAGTGGATTTCAGTTTGATCTGCCTGTAGTTTATGTACTATAAGAGTGAGTGCTCAAAAATTTTTGATGGTTTTGTTTCAGATTTATCTGTGCAATGATGACAATAGAGTTCCATAATTTCAATTAATAGCTGTCAAGTAGATTATATGCAAATGTGATAGTTAGTATTGAGGAACATAGTGTCATTCACTGCAAACTAAAGAAGGTGGTATGCACACTTGCCATTTTATTTTTTAGAGGGATACATTCAGGGGTAGATACCACTTTAGGTTTTCTGCTCAATGCAGTCTTGGGGTACTTCTTTACAAGGTGCTTTATTGTTAAGTGCATGAAAATATTGTAACTAATTTAAGCAAACATAGGTAAATGTCCCTTTAAACTATTAAAATGCCATTGCTAATGAGTAGTAAGAGTTATTGTTGAGTTGTTAGTGCATCAGGGAAGACTTGGAACATTAGTATGCAGATGTTTTCAAAAGTCATATTCTTGATGAATTGTAGTAACTAGTTGGCTTGGATGGTTTTCTCTCTTGCTTGATGTGAAATTACCTCATAGCAGGGGAAGGGACTAGGGAAAAGTCAGCTGAGCATTAGCATTTCCTATGTGGTATTTCAATTTCTATATCAATTATAAAAAAAGTTATTTAGTATGACAACTGTATTGCAAAACCTAGGATGCACAATAGCTCCACTTAATGTTGATTAGAGGCATATGGCTGTTTCACCATCAACTTGACAAAGCTACTGAAGTAATCTCTGTAATTAATTTAAAATGCAAGAATTATAGAATCATAGATTTCATAGAATAGTTTGGGTCAGAAAGGACCTTCAAAGGTCATCTAATACACACACCCCCCGCCCCCCTGCAATGAGCAGGGACACCTTCAGCTAAGTCACGTTGCTCAGAGCACCATCCAACCTGACCTTAAATGCTACCAGGGATGGGACATTTGCCGCCACTCTGGGCAACATGTGCCAGTGCCTCACCTCCCTCATTGTTTAAAAAATTCTTCCATATATGTAGTCTGAATCTCCCCCTTTTTAGTTTAAAACCATTACCTCTTATCCTGTCAAAATAGGCCCTTCTAAAAAGTCTGTCTCCAAGCCCCCTTT